TCAGAAGTCTCTTCAGAAGTCTCATCGGACGATTCAGTAGTGTCATTCGATATGTCCGTTGCATCAATAGTTGTCTCCAGATCATACGTCAAGAGTGCCCTCTTTGCCAACTTCTTACTGTCTATAGTATCAATAACAATATGAACATATGAGGTCCAAACGTTGCTGGAAACAACCTCACTGCTAATAGTGAAAGTTACCACACTATCCAATGGTATGACTTCAGTGAAGAGGATTGAAACAGTACTGGAAGTAATAGTAACCTCCGCAGAATCGGTCAGTTCACCATCGATATAAACCAAAGCTCCTGTGTAGGAGAACCCATCATTGTCAGTACCATTCTTGGTAGCAGTAATCTCAACATACGACCACGGGCCAATGGATCCAGGAATGGCTAGATTCCAGTTGATTCCCTTATCTGTGTAATCATCATCGTTGCCATCATCGTTGCCATCGTCGTTGCCATCATCGTTGCTATCGTCGTTGTCGAGGGGAACGATGGAGGCGGTGAACACAGGCTCAGTGATGATACTAGTAGAAGAAGTTTGGGAAGAAAGATCTTCAAAGGAAGCAGAGGATTCAAGATCACTAGAGGAAGACTCAACATCACTAGAGGAAGACTCAACATCACTTGAGGAAGATTCAACATCACCAGAGGAAGATTCAACATCACTGGAGGAAGACTCAACATCACTAGAGGAAGATTCAACATCACTGGAGGAAGACTCAGCATCACTAGAGGAAGACTCAACATCACTAGAGGAAGATTCAACATCACTTGAGGAAGATTCAAGATCACTTGAGGAAGATTCAAGGTCAGAACTGCTGACTTGAGACTCAGAAATAGAGCTTGAAAGTGATTCTGTCTCAGAGGTAGAGTCATCAGAAGCAGAGGCAGTTGAATCCACTGTGCTAGATTCACTAGAAATTGACGAATTGTCATCAGCTGGCCTGAATTCTATGAGTGTGTTTGCAGATTCTTGATGGTTACAATAACTTTCATAGAAAAACACCATAGGGAATGTTGAGCAGTAATCATAGGTAAATCCATCAGGGAATTTAGTCTTCACCAATGTCAGTCTGCTCGTACTACACGAGTAGGAGACAAGGTATGTCTTTCCTCCCTTCTCAACTACCACGATACCGGTAGCAGCTGATATCGTGTTTTGGTTGCTTGTAAGAATAGCAACAGCACCTTGCTTCAAATTCACGGTGAATTCACTGACCTCATAAAGGTGGACATCACTTGCTGTTGACTCTGTCAAATATTGAATATCAGTAACGTCATCATAGTCTTCAGTGAAGTTAACAAACAAGTAAAGGGTGTAGCGGGTTTCCCCAGTAGCTGGGTCATCATGTGCATCAGTCCATGCAGTTGCAATGTATGTCAAATCATTCTGAGTAACTGTTTTTACTGTTGTATAACAGTCTGTAGTTTCCCCACCAGCAGTGTAGGTGTAGGAATATGAAAGATCCGTGGTGACAGTGCGTGTAGGGACAGTGAATTCTGCAGTTGTCGTAGTGGAAGATTTGGTGGAGGATTCAGTAGAAGATTCAGCAGAGGATTCAGCAGAGGTCTCTTCAGAGGTCTCTTCAGAAGTCTCCTCAGAGGATTCAGCAGATGATTCAGCAGATGTCTCCTCAGAGGTCTCTTCAGAAGTCTCCTCAGAGGATTCAGCAGATGATTCAGCAGAGGTCTCCTCAGAAGTCTCCTCAGA